AATCTGCTGGCAAAAGTAGAAGTGCCCTGCAAGCTGGTGGGGAGAGTTCAGACAATGGACGTGGTAGGGATAGAGCAATGTAATCCTCATCATATGATCACCCATGGCAAACAGTCAGTAAGGAGTGTCCGCTCCAGGGATGGATTATTTCCTCGTGTAGCCTGAGCTAAGACTGTTCTGTAGCTCTCGTCTAATGTGCTGACCAGCATGTACACACCTGAGCAGGGCTATCAGTAATGAAAGCAAAAAAAGCCTCCTACTCACAGATCAGAGCAACACTTTCAAAACTTCAGTGAAACTTTTTGGTTCAAGTTTCCAGCCAGACTGTCCCTGTGACTGTGGCTTCTTTCCACCGCTTTCCTTGCTTTATGGCTGTCTCAGTTCCTTCTTAGGCATGGTGAGATTCTTTCAGGGCATTTATTTGTGCTCCTGCTCAGGCAGATTCTTCATGTGGCTTGGTATATTTCCAAAAAACCAAAAGGAAGCCCTATCTGAATTCAGGCATTAGAAGCTCTCTCTCTTAACCACAAGGGCTCAGGTGTCTGGTGTTAACAAACCTTTTCCAGCAAAGACATTTGAAGACTTGTTTTCTGAACTTCTGAGCATCCACAATTCCAGAGGAAGTCAGCAGGTGGTTTCAAGAAACTCTGGTGTTAGACTGTGGCTGTATGGCCCAGTGGTTAGGGCACTGGACTAGAACCCAGGAGACCTAGTGTCTTCTCCTGATTTGGCCACTGACCTCGAATAACTTCACCTCTCTGTGTCTGTTTCCCTTACCACTTGTTACCTGTCTGTTTGAATGGTAGGGTATAGCACTGTTTGTATGGTCTCTCGCAGAAGTGGGCTCAGATCTCCAGTGGGGCTACAAGATGCTACTGTAAGATAAGTAGCAAAGTGAAATTTAGCTTCAGCGATCTCAAGCTTCTGCCCATTGTATCTGAAATCCATTTTGATGTTTACGTAGAAGGTTACTGCAAGGAGCCGGCTGGGAGGCTGTCTAGTTAATGTCTGGTTTGTCTGGTTCTCTTTAAGGAGTGGAAGGCATTGTCCAAGCATACTCAGCCTGTCTGCCTCACATACGCTTCTACGGACCAACCAACTTCTCTCCCATTGTCAATCACGTGGCTCGGTTTGCTGCCCAGGCTACGCAGCAGGAGTTTGCAGCAGTAAGTTAACAAGTCTGTCCTTTTATCTGTATCCCTGCCTTGGCTTGGAATTTCAAAGCAAGACTCATTAAGCTTACCATCTTGTTATCTCCTAGAGGGCACAGGATCATAGAAGTGCAAGATAAAAAAGACCTATTAGATAACTTAATCCATCCCTTGCATACACAGGCTGTGGTCCCTTGGTAGCGGATGTATCGATGTCAGTGATACATCCCGGGTTTGATCTTAGCCAACAGGCCAGTAACTAGCTCTGTTTAAAAGCTGATGGGATGTCTCACCGTTAAAGGCATGGAACCGCTATATCTAGGGAAGAAGTAATTTCAGGTATGTTTAAACATTGTTGATTTTAGTAAGACCCGCTGCTGTAGGCTCATGTCAAAGGCAGATACAATGACAAAGGCAAGATACAATGGAATTCGGAGACTACTAAGAGTTTGAGGTTCTGTTCAGGGACTTGTAGCCTCTGTTACTGCAACAGTTGAGCATCTTGTAGGCACCACGGAATTAACCTCTATGCCCCTGGGTGGTAAGGAAGTGTTGTTCTCTCCATAATACAGATGGGGAACTGAGGCACAAGGACATTAAGCAACTCACCCAAACACACAGGAAATCAGTGGCAAAGCCAAGAATTGAACACAGAATTGAACTCCCGAGCCCCAGTTTAGTAACTCAGGGACCATCCGTCTTCCTCTTGTGCCGTGTGTGTTTTCAGGCGAGTGAAGAGATGCAGTTTATCCTAGGTACTTATCTCACTATCTTAGTGCCTAAGAACCTCTCAACACCCCTGTGAGGTAGGGCAGTGCTCTTATCCCCATTGCCAGACGGGGAACTGAGACACAGAGAGGCCAAGTGTCTCAGCCAAGGTCTGTACCAAAGCAGGGAACTCCGCTTGAGTCTCCCAAATCCCAAGTGGCACTGCAACCACTGGACCAGGCATCTGCCATAACACACTGGCAAACAAATGTCTGATTTATTTATTGACATAATGCAGTTTGAGTCATGTCCTAGGTTAAACTCCGTGGGCGAGGTTTGGAAAAGCATTCAGTGTCGGTGTTAATTTTGCTCCCATTAAAAGTTAGTGGGAGTCAATGGGAAACGTGTTAATTGCTACAGTTTACGGACAATGAATATGTATTGCCCACGGATAGGATAGACTGTAAGAATGATTCATCTAAAATAAGGAACTCTACTTTTTCCCGGTGCCCCTCATTTTAATAGGTGTCATTCAAACACAAGCGCTCCAGTAGCACTGTGATGAGCACAATAGGCAGGAGAGGAGGAGACGATTGGTCCGTGGAATAGAATGCAGGGTGGGAGGGCTAATGCTGTTTAATACAGAGCCCGTCTTTCCAGGTGTAGAACATCACGGGGTAGCCATGTTAGTCTGTATCCACAAAAACAACAAGGGGAGTCTGGTGGCACCTTGAGGTTTTTTACCCACAAAAGCTTATGTCCAAATAAATCTGTTAGTCTTTAAAGGTGCCACCGGACTCCTTGTCGTTCAGGTGTAGAACAGTGTTTTGTGTCTGGGAGCTGGGCTCTCGGGCTCCTGTGTTTTGTTCAGTGGTTTTGGAAGCAAAAGCGCTTTGTATGCTGTGGTCAAACAGGCAGCACTGCAGCTTACCCAGGAAGAATGAGTTGAGCGATGGACCACCTGGGTTCTTATGATAAGGGGGGGGTGAGGCAGCCTGGCACGGGGTAAGTCCACCAGCTTTCTGCCTTTGGAGCTCCACGGGTTCAGTTCCCGGTGTGGGCACAAAGTGATAGTAGTCTGGATCCCCTCCCTAACGGGTGGCTGGCCCCACTACAGATTGCCCCACGGCGCTGTGTAGCAGTCTGTGCTTCAGGAGAGTCCCCGGGACTGCAGAGCCAGGCTTGCGGTAAGTCAGAACCCGGGTGTGTTACTGTGAGGGAGTGGGCTGGAGGACAGGACCGAGGTGCTGTGGCAGCACTATGAGAAACCTGTACAATAGCTACCCGAGTACAGGCCTGGGCCTGCGAGAGGCCAACGACGGGCGACTCTCATTGGCTTTAACAGGAAGGGCCAGTGCTCACTGCTGATCTGGCTCAGGCATTGGCTCCAACAAGTGTCTTCAGTTGTTTGTTTTCCATGAGCTCCAAGTCCTACGATGTCCTTTTGAAGCGCTCTGGCTTTGCACAGAGTTGAGCTGTTTCTTTTCATGAGGCCTAGAAGGATCCCCAGTTAAATCCACACAATATGTGAGTTGTCGAGCGACACACCGTGGAGAGAGATTAGTGCACGTCGTGTAGCTTTGCCGCAAGCAGATTGGGTTGTGATTGAGGGCTCGTCTTCACCGGACGTCCTTACCAGGAGTTAATGGATTGCTGCGCATTTGATCAAGGCTGCCAACATGTGTTCTTTACCCTAGGGATCAGCCACATAGGACAACCCTAGGACCACAACTTGAGACTTGGCTCCATTAATGACATCAAGGCAAAAGCCACAGCACCTCATCTGCTCTGGGATTTTGCAGGGAGGTAGCAATCTTGATGTCTTCACTGCAGAAAAAGCCTGAGTCACAATCTGTGTCCCAGTTCCCCTTGCTCCAAGAGGCACAGGCGCCAGCTTCTAATTTTCCCCGGGGTGCTCAGCTCCAGGTCCCGCCCCCACTCCACCCCTTCC